CGCCGATTTAGATGACCTCTTTGCATGACCATGTACTTTCTTTTCTTTGGACGCTAACTTTGGAAGCTTTTGTAACCGGGCTATAGCCCCTCCTTTTCTAATGCACTTTTGAAATGAAATCTTCAATTTTCTCATCTTTCTGTTCGGTTTATACATGCATCCATTATTCAACTATAACTTGTATGATGTATAACAATTTCTTTCCGAGATACCAATCTCGATCTCAACCTTGCAATCTACTTATCCCTGCCAACCACTCTTTAGCCTAGATCTTTATCTCAGCTGAAGAGTACCAAAAGTTGGCTATTCCAGCCAACTACTCTTCAGCCTAGATTCTTATCTCGGCTGAAGCGGACTAAAAGTTGATTTTTCCAACCAACCTATTCAGCCTAGATCCTTATCTCGGCTGAAGAACAATGAATGTTGGTTTTTCCAGCCAACCTCTTCAGCCTAGATTCTGATCTCGGCTGAAGAGAGCTCAAAGTTGGCTATTCCGGCCAACCCTGAGTGAAGTGTTTGGTTTTTCCGACCAAACTTTTTCATTGTCCCCCAGTCGGGCAAAGACTTGTTGGTTAAACCTACCAACTTCCTGCAGCCTAGATATCCTTATCTCGGCTTAGGAGAGCTAAATGTTGGTTATTCCGGCCAACATAGGGCTAAGCGTTTGGTTATTCCTACCAAGCTTCTTGGTTGCCCGCCAAGTCGAGCAAAGACTTATTGGTCAAACCTGTCAACTTCCTGCAGCCTAGATATCCTTATCTCGGCTTAGGAGAGCTAAATGTTGGTTATTCCGGCCAACATAGGGCTAAGCGTTTGGTTATTCCTGCCAAACTTCTTGGTTGCCCCCCAAGTCGGGCAAAGACTTATTGGTCAAAGCTGCTAACTTCTTGCAGCCTAGATATCCTTATCTCAGCTTGGGAGAGCTAAATGTTGGTTATTCCGACCAACATAGAGCTAAGCGTTTGGTTATTCCTGCCAAACTTCTTGATTGCCCCCCAAGTCGGGCAAATACTTGTTGGTCAAACCTACCAACTCTGCTTTTAATGCCCCTAGCTAGCTAAAACAACTTTTACAAAAGAAAATAATCTATGCTGAAAAGGAAACTACTTGTTTTATTGAGGAAAAGAAAAATTACAAGTACTCTATAGGAAAGCTAAAAATAAAATAACTTGAGATTGACAGTGTTCCACGGCCTGGGGATGACCTTGCTATCTCCATCTTCCAAGTGGTATGCCCATTTTCCTGCTAATCAACCACTTCGTATGATCCTTCCCATTTGGGCCCTAGTCTTGCCATCTCTGGGTGTCAAAGTGTTTCCCATTACTTTGCGCAGCACCCAATCTCCAATCTTAAATTGCCTTTTATTCAGCTGCCTTGCCAACATCTGTGAACAGCTCCTTGCTCTCGAGTTCTTCCACCAGCTGTACATATACTTTGGCAGCGCGGCTACCATTTGCTGTGACGAAGCATTGTTTAGACATAATTTGGTCTCCAAAGACCTCTTCAATTACCCCGGCTTCGTTGGGGAATCGCAATACTTGATGGTAGGTTGAAGCTACCGATCGCATGGCGTGCAACCATGTCCTTCCCAATATTATGTTGTAAGCGGAAGGGACTTTCAATACCCAGAATTCCACTTGTTTTGTCATGGTTCCTGCCTTGACTGGGAGGATTATCTTGCCCATTGGCCACTCTGGCATTGAGTTGAATCCGATCAGGGGAGATGTTGTAGGTGCTAAGTCTTTGTCCTCCAGTTTCAATTGTTTGAAGGTTTCGTAATATATTATCTCACATGAGCTTCCTTGGTCGATCAAAATCCGTTTAATGTCGAAATTCTTGACATGTAGAGTGACGACCAGTGCACCATTGCGAGAGCAGTATATCCTTGCTAAGTTTTTGTCCGAAAAAGATATGACATTTGTGGGTTCTGTTCTCCCCTTTTTGATGGTAGGTTGTGCACTTAGTACCTCCCTTAAGTGCTCAGCCTTTTTGATCATCCCCCTGAGCTCACATACTCGCTCAGGTTCGAATACTCCATGTATTACGTTTATTACGCCTTGAGGTGGAGCATCGACCAGCATCCCGTTTGGGTTGTTGTGGTTCTGGGGGGCTGGCTGTGTCCCTCCTTCTATGTATTGGTCCAAGTGCCCAGCTGCCACTAACTCCTCCAAGTGCTACCTTAATGGTGTGCAATTTTCAATGTGGTGCCCCTTTTCATCATGGAAGGTGCACCACGACCTCTCGTCATATTCTCTTTGCGCTTCTCCCAGTTTAGCAGGCCATCGGACGAAAGGTTCATTGCGAATCTCGCTGAGAATCCGATAGATCGGTTTTTTGAACACCGTGGTAATGGCAGTGCGGACTCTCAACCTTCTTTTGTCTTGGTCCTTTCCGTTGTCCCGCCTACCTCGCCCGTTTCTGCTTGGACATTCCACCGCGTTGACTTTTGCCGTAGTCTTTTTATCTGGTATTGCGGTTGTGCCAGATTTTGCTTTAGCGCGGTTGCTATTTTCCTCCACACGAATATGTTGGTGTACTCTCTCCATCAAGGCTTCCATCGTATGGGGTGGCGTCATGGTGATTGAGTTCCTCAACCTGTTTCTAACTGAAAGACCTCTTTTGTATTGTGCGATAGCGAGATTGGTGGGGCAATCCCCAATCTAGTTGAAGGTCTCCCAGAAGCGACTGTTATAGGATCTTATCGTCTCCTTGTCGCCCATGTCAATGGAGAGAAGCTGGTCGATTTCCACTGGCGTTTTGGTGTTTGTTCTGAACCTTATTACGAACGCCTCTGCCAACTGTGCCCAGGAGGCGATGTTGCCTTATGGTAGCCTTTCGAACCAGGTTAAACCTAGGTCGCCAAGGCTGGATGGGAATAGAATGCACATCAAAGCTCCGTTCCGCCGGTATATTGCCATAACTTGGCGAAAGTGGCTTAGGTGCATGTAAGGGTCTGTTTTCCCTTCGTACGTGATAAATTTAGGCTGGATAAAGCCTGAGGGTAATGGTGCGTTCTCAATCGCTGGAACGAACGGTGAACTATGTAGTCTTGCCAACACTTTATCTATTGGTTCGTAGGCAAGGTGCGGTATTGGCATTCCAACCTCGACGCTTCCATGCGTCCAAGGAGCCAACCGCTGAAGGGCTGAAACTCTGTGCGGGTTACATGTCCTGGCATCCTCCTTCTGTCACGCCCTTTCTTCAAGCACAGTCCGTAAGTCGGAAGATCTAGGCAACTCCGTTTGCCTGGATGATGTCTGGTGCGTATGTGAGGGCCGATAGGTACTTCCCTCAGTGTAAGACCTCAATGATCTCGTTCTCTCAAACCTGGAGTAACGAGTTCTGGAAGTTCTTGATTGAGTGTCGCCTGTCCTGAGGCTTCTACTCTCTGCTTGCGATGGCGTGGTATGCCTACCACGATCTTTTGAGTGGCGAGGAGGCATATTGCCTTTGCGCCCTTCTCCTGTCGCCACCCCTTTTCCCTTGATCTGGCGTTTCATGGTCTCCATGTTCCCCGCCATCTTCCTTATTAGTTCATCTTGCTCTTTTACACGATCCTCCAGAGCTGAGGGTCGATTCTTCGCCTTTGCTTTTCAGGACTTTGTGAGCAAGAGCGACGGGGGCTGTTGTTCCGCCTCCCCCTTGCATCCCTCCGGGGATTCTGTCGTTGGGGCTCTAAGTCCGCCATAGGAGGGATAAAGGGCAATCCTTCGCGCCTCCCACCCCCCTCTGGGGTTTGTCCGTCAATAGCGGACTGCGGCAAATCTTCATTGTGCGCCATTCAATGAGTGAAGGAAACTTGATCAAGAGGTTTTGTTCTTTGTTCTTTGTTTGATATTCCCACAGACGGCGCCAATTGTACGAGCAAGAAATAATCTTGTCGTATAATCCTGTTGATCAAGATTGCACTCCTCCGTACGTCGTCGCTTTATTCCCTGAAAACACAAACGTGAGCTAGCCGGCGGGTATGTGTCGGATACCTCTCCGATGCCTAAGTTAGCAAAATAGACAAACAGACAAAAAGCTCTGTGTATTCGAGAATCAAAGTTGTGTTACCTCTCCATAGGTGATGTTATGAGCTTTTATAGGTTTCGCATGGCATAATCCTAATAGGACTCTTATTCCTCCATGTAGAGTCCTCCTAGGAATCACATTCCTGAAAAATAATGCTTATCTTTCAACAACCCCCTCACTGCTTAAACCAAGTGAGATGGTTTTACCTAGGTCGGATGTCAATACGACCGGGATAACATGGCCATGCTAAAGCCACAGACTAGACCGAGCTCCACCTAGCTCGGTTCTTCCTTTCACTGCGTGTACCTCGGTTCGACATACTCCAACCAGGCTGGTGAGATCATGCTAACCATACTGAGCTAGGACCGAACTAACCCATAGCATGGTTCTGAGGAAGGCTCAACATACTTTGGCTCAATATGGTATGACCGGGCTAACTGTTACCGCGCCAACCGTGGTGACCAAGCTAACCACCAAGCTCTTCCGGACCGGGCTAACTGCAAGGCTCCTCTGGACCGAGCTAACACTTGCGATCCACTTGCTAAGCTTTTTTTACCGAGGCTGACACCTTTACATCGGCTGATATCTTTACCTCGGCTAACATTGCGGTCAACCAAGCTACTTCGGTGCTTGGTAGCTCGGCCATAGCGTTGACCGCCACTAGGAAGTAGCTAAGTCCCGTAGCTAGGTCCCGTGGCTAGGTCTCATAGCTAGGCCGCGTAGCTAGGTCCAATAACTTAGTTTCGTAGCTAGGTCCCATAGCTAGGCCGCGTAGCTAGGTCCAATAACTTGGTCTCGTGGCTAGGTCCCGTAGCTAGGTCCTATGGCTAGGTCCCATAGCTAGGTCTTGTAGCTCAGTCTCGTAGCTAGGTCCCATAGCTAGGTCTTGTAGCTCAGTCTCGTAGCTAGGTCCTAAAAACATCTTTGACCGCCACTCCAACCTAGCTCGGCCCAATTTGGCTACACAAATTGCCCTCTCAGATGCCATGGATGATAGCGATCCATACTTCGATAATCCTCAAATCAAGCATTTGTTACAAATAGCTAAGGCAATTAGAAAGGACTATCCTAACGAAAATTGGTTGCACTTGATTGGCGTACACAGTACTTAATTGTTGTTCTTTCCATCTTCTAGAGGAAAAAAAAATCATATTTAGTAAAACAATATGTTCTGTCGAAACAAATGGAGTGTTAGAAATTTGACTCTCTATTCATGAAATGACCAAGATTAGAACCCACCACTGCTTTAGTTCAATTTTATCGATTTTTTGATTTAATGTAAGTAAGGGATTTAGGTGAAGCTTTTCGAAGGTTTTACAAAAAATTGTAGAATCTTACATTGAAAATATATGAAGAGAGAGGGTGGAGCTGTTCTATAAATACCTCCCTCCCTAGCCTTTATTTTTTTTTTTTGTTTACGTTTTGCTGCCCAATGCGTAGTCGTAATCATGTTATGTAGCGTGTTTGATGTTGTGAAAATCATATTGAAGTGGTGACGCATTTGTAATGTTCTTCAATCCATTGACATAATCTACGTAGCGTCACTTTAATTGTTGGATGTTATTGTTGAAATGCATAGCTACAGCTCGTTGCATTTGTACAAAATTTAGTACAGAACAATATAATTAGTTAGTTGGGAAGTGATAGTGGTTAGTACTGCATATAATACATGCAGTATGTACTTGTTGCCTAGTGCGCGATGAGATGAAAATCAGAGTTTGCCTGTGTGATGTTAACGTTTGAGTTCAGATTTTAATTTGATGGCATGACATGGGGCATAAAAGTTGGTGTTCTTCTGGTAAATTGCCTGAGGCTGGAACATGTGGTGGTGTAAAAGATTCATTTTTCATGGTAATGGATCATGACATTTTATGTTTTGTGTTGGCAGCTTTAATTTGTTTCTTCTGATTTGAATGTAAAACATGTTCAGGTAGCAGTGGCAGTAGGACTGGTAAACGGAAAATTGGCTTGAGGTCACCACACACATCGACAAGGCAACCCAGTAAACGACAAGCAAAGCTCCCTTTCAAGAAACAGAAAGGTTCGGGTGATCTTGTTCAGAGAGCTGTTGTTGATACGTCGAAATTAATGTACCGTTCAAACATATCCGGGCTGATTAGCACAGTTCTGGAACTCGAATTACGCGATGCCCACGTCAGACAGTTGCAGAGAACGCCATTCTGGCTGATGATTGATGCTATTCGGGCTAACGAGCTGGATCCTAAAATGTTCAAAAAATGTGATGCGACGGTATGTCGGATAATACAAACTTACAACCCTGAAGATGAGAAATTCCACATCGGTGGAGCTAAGTTACCATTGCGCAACAACGACATCAGGTTGATCTTTGGGGTACAATGTGGGAGGGAGAAATTGGATATGACACAGGGTGGGAAAGGGCCGTCTGATTTCATGCAAAGACGCTGCGCAAATGTTACCCGAATTTCCTCAAAACTAATAAAGGACTTGCTGGGAGAAGCCATCTGTGGTCATACGGAGCGTGACGAAGAAGATGTGGCGAAATTGTTGTGTCTTTATGTGTGCGCCAAGTTATTTTTCGCAACAATCGGCGAGCATATAGGTTGGGCATTTGTCCGTGTGATTGACAAACTAGACACGTTGCAGCATTATGACTGGAGTGCAACAATAAGAAACACATTGATTGGGTCACTAAATGAGATGCACAATAAGCCAGAGAAGGTCACTGGTTGCGTAGTAGCATTGCTGGTACGTATGTTTTTTCCTTGTTTGGTGGTTCAAATTCAGCGGTAAAACATATAACCCATTTCAGTGTTAATTTAACGGATGTTTCATGGTCTAATTTCAGTTCCTTATTTGTGAGCATTCAAACATCGTCGCTCCGGAACGACCCGACGTGACACCACGTTTTTGTAGATGGAACATTGCAGCCGCTGTGGGGAAACTAAGAGTAATAAATTTGTCGTCAGAAGGTTGCTTTGAGGTATGCAATTAGAACCCTTTTAATTGTTTTGCAAATTTTTCCAATACCAAAACATTGAAATTATGCTACGTTTTGCTGGTAACTTTCATTAGGTCCAGTGTGGCAAACTTGTTGGGACGATTAATGAATGTCATATTCTGAAGGTGCCTGCTGCTGCTATTGAACCAAAAGAATGTAGTAGAATTAGGGCGGATGTGGAACCGCCTGGAGTGTGCGATGAACGCAGGGCTGTGATTGAGACAGATGATGTTGGCATCGTGGAGCCGAGCTTCAATTGTTGGCAGCCGGCCAAAAAAACAAAGGGTGACATGAAAATAGAGGGGGCCAATGACGATGACAATAAAAATACTGGAACACCGACCAGCAAGGAAAAAGTAGCTGGGAAGCTGGTGTCACGTGGAGAGGTTTGGCAGGTATTGTTCCCAGATCTTCTGGAACTGTCCAGCACTCCAGACGGTGAAGACGTGGGTGGGGAACAAAGAGGGGTGCGCGATGAGCTGATAACTTGTAAAGCAAGAATTACTGAATTAGAGAGTGAGATCAATATGAAAGATGTACAGATATGTGAACTGGAACAGCGTGTGGAAACACTGGAAAAACTGCTCGGGCGGCATTGTTTGCAAACTTAAATACTGTGATTGTGGATAAGGATGCAGAAATTGCACGGCTCACCAAGCAGGTTGATCGATTGGACAAAAAAGTAAGCAATTTGGAAGATAGTCTTGATGACCTTGAGGTTCACGAGGTCACACAATTAGCTGTGAATGCTGGATCCAATCAGCGAACACCAAGTAATAGTCTGTTAGGCAAAGTGAGTGGGTCTGCCAATGTGACGAGTTGCGAAAGTGCGCAGCGGTTTGCATGTCGTAGAGGCCAACCCGAAGACGTGCGGATCAACGAATTACAACTTGTTGACAATGACCCTGGGATTGAAGATTTGACAGATGACTTTGCAGATGGGATTGTACGTACAACTGTGGCAAGGGGAGAGGGTAGCTGCAGCCCCATAAATGCAGAGACAGTAGCTGATGGCAATGTAAAGGATGGCCCAGCTGTCGTTGTTGTAGAAGGTCATTGCGAACACACAGCAGGTGCAACAAGTTCTGGGCCTAAAATTACGTCACTTGTGAAAAGGGTGAAGAACAAGGCAAGACGGGAATTTAGGTTATCAGACTACGAATATCCCGGCATATTTGGGCGTCCACAGGTAAACACCAATGTCAGACTTGGTAAATCAGTTGAACCCGGGGTGATTTACAGTGTTGAGGACGTCGAGGTGGAGCGTAAAACATGGAATGGATTCGGTCTGAATAGGCGGCACACTGTGTGGAACATGGTGAAGGATGAAGACAGGGAACTACTACAAAGAATGTACACTTTAGAGGGGGACGGGTACGTTGTTCGGATGAAATGTTCTATTGTTTAACATGTACAACTTGTAAAACTATGCTCTATGGTGGTTCTTAATTTTGGTGCACGGTGTGCAGGTTAATAGTGTGGGATGGTGGACATAATGGAATACAAGTCCATTTCACGGACATCAAAGATTTGGTGCAGCAGAACTCCATACACGGCAATGTAAGCTGGTTCCGTGTAACGAATCGTACAGTATTTAGTGATTCTTTAATTATTTTTAAAAAACATATGCAAATCTGACAGTTGCTTCCTTTGTGAATTGAGTGATGTGGCAGTCGGAAACGGCAAATGAATTTTAAAACACAGTGAAGAATATGTAAATGGAAATGTAAATTTACAAAGTTGTTATTACTATTGTGGTGGAGTTGTAATGGGTGACATATGTTGCAGGTAATCTATGCATACGCTGCAATGTTGACTGAAATGCATAAGATGGTATCTGGAAGGGCAGAATATGTTGGGGCATCGTACATTTACACTAGTGTTTGTTCGGTATGTATCTTCAGTTTTATTTGATTCCTTGAAATCTAGAAAATATTTGCATAATGAAACCTGGTACGCCGATGGTGGTTTTGGACAATTGTGCAGGATATGATGCGAAACAGTAGTGCTGTTTCCCGAGCGAAGTATTTGAATGTTCACATGAAGGCTGCACGAGGTTGCAGATACACAGTAATCCCAATCTACAATGCCAACCATTGGACAGTCATGGCGTGCGATTCAGAAAGTGGGAATTGGAAACATTACAACTCGATGCGGCCAAGACGTGGAGTGCGCGATGAGCACTACAATGAGGCTCTAAAAGTGGTAAGTGCTGTTTACAAATTTCAGTTTACAATGTGCATTATGGGCAGATTGCAATGTGGAAAATGTTAATGTTACTGTGGACAAAACTGCACTGACATTTGAAAAATGGACAGAAACAATGGGTGGCTGATCACCACAACAAATTTGTGAAGCCTCGAGTTACACCTACAGCTGTTGGCGCACAGCTGTTTGATGGCAGTTTTGTATCTGTTGTGGATTGCCCACAACAAGTTCCAGAGTCGTAAGAAATGTTCATTTTATTTTGAGCGTACTGTTTTGATGATGTATCACGTCTGTGACATTGACACCGGTGTTTGTTAGTGCAGGTCGGATTGTGGGATTTTCGTGTGCTTCATAATCAGGCAGTACATTCGTGGTGTAGAAGTGAATACTTCGATGGATGGGCTGACCCCAACTGGGCTACGAGCTGCAATGGTGGAAATGTTCTTAAGTGACCCGGGCAGTGGACTCCGTGGGAGGACATTATAACAAGTTGAGAAGACATTTCCCAGTGCGCAAGTTGCAACAACAGCATTAGGATGTTTTTTTTCTGTTTTTCCCGTATCGGCGTATATAATGTTTTGTTAGTCTAGAAACACATAAAAGTAGGACGCAAAAACTAGTTTCATATACGTTACTTTTTTGGTAATGCAGAAGTGGCAAACGGTTTAATCTTGGGTTAGGATCCAGTATTTTGTGGATATGAATGTTGATATTATTTAGTAAGCTATTCAAATTGTCTCACCTTTTGCATAATAACAGTTTCACAGTGCATTACACTTTTATGTCATGTGAAGTACATTGTTTTTAAATGGCAGATGGGCCTGGGTATGTGAACATGGTGTGATGTATGCAGGAGTTGGGCATGACAAGACTCAGTTTTGTAAACCTGTTTTCCACCACGGGAGTATGCGTGGTTTGATGTATATGGAAGTGGACATGCAACGACTGAGCACGTCAACCACATGGTAAGTATGACACAAGTAAAGATTAATTTCGCATTGCCATCTTAATCAGAATTGTGATGATACCATGTTGAGCATAACATAAAATTACCTTCCTGTTCAATTTATTGTAAGTCATTTGGTAATGGGTACATGTTTTGTGCAATGACAATGGATTGTAAGCAGCCACAGAAACATTAAAAATCCATTGCCGTTCCGGATACAGGTTGGCAGAGTCCACTTTGGGCGAATGTTCTGGTATGATGTGAACAAATTTATAAACTTAAACGGCACCAATTCCTTATTTCATGTATTCACAGTGTTAATGAAAGCAAGATTTGAGAATTAAATGGTTGTGTTTCAAAGGAGCAGTGTTAGTGTTCAGTAGCGGGGACCCAAAACGTATGTCCTACTAAACAAATTAAACCAATAACATAAAGTGGATGACTGGTTTCCAAATCTGTTATGATGTCCACAGATTTGAAACAAAAACCGGCACCCACTGACTCTTGTCGTGTGTAGACAATGTGATTCAAAACAGATTTGAAAAATAAAAACCACTGGCTATTTTCATGCCTGCATAGTGTTAAGCAAAACATATTTCAAACTAAAATGGTTGGGTGTTAAAGGTGGAGTGTAATTGTTCAACAATGGGGACTGAAATGGTTGCTGGATTACATAAAAATGTATATCCTACAAAATAAATTAAACCAATAACAGAAAGTGAATGACTGATGTAAAAAAAAAAGGAATTTTTTTAAAAAAACCAAATAACCCAGTTTCTTAACAACCAAATTAAATCATATGGCAGCCCAACTGTAATGGCTCTTTGCATGTCTTCCTATTGTGATTGCCCACTTTTCCGCAACGACCACAACGTATACGTTGCACTACCTCCCCCTTGGACGGAATTCTCTTCCGTTTTGGCCGACCGGGGGGACGCTTGGCCGTCGGCGGAGCTATCAAACATTCAGCTGGGTTAAACAGTGGCCTCCCCACTGTTGGGATGGGGTATATGGTTCCGCTATAAGTAGCTCGAAATGTATCAATGCAAAATGCGGAGTCTATGGCATCGTAGATGTTTCTCCCACTATTACGGAATGCAACGACAACATGGGAACATGGGAACCCGTTGATCTGCCACTGAAAACAAGAACATGTCAGCTTGCCGACATCAACCAACACCGATGGGTAGGAGTGGACCTTATAGACATCATCATTAGCCTGGCTCACACACCAAGCCCTGCTGTCGTTATACGCTGCCACTAATTTTTTCTCCATTTTCGGGGATATCACACCGTCCCATTTACTGCATTTAACTCTGCGCTCCGACATCTGCTCCATTATTTGACCCCTTATCATATCGACCAATCTCGTGATAGGGAGATGACGAGCCTCACCAACCCAATTGTTGAAAGATTCCGCAGCATTTGAGCACATCTCCCCATACCGTTGGCCCCTTTTTTAGAAAAAAGAAACCCATTTACAAAGCGTAAATTAAAAAGACCAAAACAAAATATACTGAAAAAAAACACGTGGGAATTTTTAAATATGCCATAACCCGTTGTGCAGGCCATGAATTACCTGAAATACGCATTAGACCAGTGTTTGGGGTGCAGGTCTTTCATAAAATCTTCAATCACAGCTGGGTTGGCCTTCTTCAATACCTCTAATTTCTCATTGAAACAAGCAACAGTGGGCGCATATGCACATTCCCGTAACTTCCGCATCAACCCAATTTTGTGCGATGCATTAACATATTTCATTCGATCCCGCAAGTTCATTTGGAGATGCAACAAACAATATGCATGATGCGCTGAAGGGAAAATAATGGGCATAGAGTGTAATAATCCGACATGGCGGTCAGATATGAAAGTCAATGTTCGCCCACCCCCAACAACTTCTTTCAAATTATGAAGGAACCATTCCCAATTAGCTGAATTCTCGGAATCAACAATAGCAAAGGCTACCGGAAACAATCCTAAGACCAAACATGCAACATAAAAAGTTAGGCATGACAAAACTTATACAACCATCCACGAATAAAAAAGTGCGACACATTTTAAAAAATTTTAAAACGAATAAGCCTGCCACTGTGTGTTACATTCCTATTCAGTTTTATTTGAGGAGACCCTATTTCAATGTTCTCAATTTTTTTTTCCGTTGTTGAATGGGAAAGAAACATTTGAAATGTATAAAAATTTGAAGTATCTATTTACTAGTATGTTCAGCAAATAAGCACTAATGGAATAAAGTAACACACCCTTACCTTGATTGGCGTCTTTAGCAGTAGCTGCGAGCAAATTGCCTTTAAATCTACCTTTCAAAAACGTTCCATCCAAAAAAAGCATAGGCCGGCAGTGTTTGAACCCATCTATACAAGCGCGAAATGATATGAAATACCTAACAAAGCTCCCGGTTTTTGGGTCAAACTCAAGATTAATGTAACTATTTGGGTTTTTTTGCATAACAGAATTGCTATACCACCTCAGCTGATCAAAGGACGTAGCGTGATCCCCGTACACCTCGCCCCTAGCTTTCTCAACACCCAACCATGCCACCCGGTAGCTAATATCCAAACCATAATCGTTCTTCAAATCAAACACGACATCAGTGGGGCGCGTCAATGGCTTATCACGCAGTCGATCTGCAACAACTGTAGACACCAAATCAGACCCCGTACGAGGGTTCCTAGAAGTACGTACAGCAGCCCCACAAGTATGCACACTATCAAACCTCTTAACACATAACACCCCACTTGACGGTAACATCCTCGCATGAACTGACCACGGACAATCTGTTGAAGCCGCAAACTTACACACTACCGTAATTCGCACGGAGTCATTTTTAACGTACTTAAATTGAAATCCACATTCAACAGCATACTTACACAGAACTTCATGGAATTCAATCGCTCCACCATCAAAACATTGTCCTACATGGGCAATACCATGCGTCCATTGCGCCGACAAAAACGTCTTCGATTTGTTCAAACAGTAAGTTGGTAACAAATCCATCTGCTCATTCACGAACCCATTCCCGCTAACATGCCGTGATATTCCCCCATCGTCCGCGAAATCCAACACGACACGATTACCACCCACACCAACACTACTTTCCTGAATGACGACCTCAATGTGATTTATCCCGAACGACTTAGCAAGGCACAACATGTTTTGAATGTCGTCGTCGCTATCCACCTTAAACTTCTTATATCCGGGAAAATCAAAAAACAAACACACCGCACCTGGTACCAATCCATCGAACTTCCCACAAATTTCATCAACAATCTTCACATACGACGAATCGTGATTCAACCGAATAAGAACATTAACTAAACTATACGAACAAACCAGCAAAATTCCCCCATCCATACCTGCACACATTTTGAAGAACCCATTACGGCTGCAACATACCCATGAAACAACCATAACAGAACAGTATGTGTGCGTTTGTTTGATTAAACACAGCATTGCAGGAAAATATAAAAAAAAACACCAACGACCCATCCCTCCATTGATAAAACCAGCGCACCCATCCCATAGACAGATCAGAGGAAACTTAAAAAATTCTGGAAAAAAAACACACCTTCACCCAGGGGCTTGAACACAGCAATGCCACCGCAGAAAGCCACCAACTTGAAATATCCAATTACAGTGCGAAGAACAGCAATGGTCTCTGGGGAAGATGATGCCGACCAACGGAAACAAAGCTCTCACCGTATTCTGCCTCCATCAAAAACAATGGTGGAATCAATGTAAATGACGGAAAAACAATGGTAATCAAACCGAAATGGTGGACAACAACAATAAAGAATCAGAAACAATGTCAATCAAAATACATAATAATGAAAGAACCAGTTACAGAGTCAGAACGAAAATAACCGTCTATGAGAAATCGCAAAAATGGTGAAAACAAAATTAACCAATAAAAATCATCCCCACTAAAACATGTTGATTGCAGAAAATCAGTTGTAATGCATCGTAAATGCTACAGAAAAAATGATGGTCTCTGGGGAAGATGATGCCGACCAACGGAAAGAGACCTCTCACGGTATTCTACCTCCATGAAAGCAATGGTGGAATCAATGTAAATGAAGGAAAACAATGGTAATGAAACCGAAATGGTGAACGACAACAACAAACACGTTGATTGCAGAAAATCAGTTGTAATGCATCGTAAATGCTAGAGAAAAAATGGTGCTCACCGATTTGGGTGTCCCAGAAACATCCCCACAATAAGTTGAACATTACGAAAGTCAATTGAATTGACCAACAACTGTTGAAGGAAATATTCAGGTAAAGGGTATTGACGTAAAAACGCAATGGATTAAATCAAACCCCCCAAAATCAGCATATCAAATAGGACTAAATGGAGCATAGGAAAACATTTAGGACTAAATGGTTCAACATTTCAGGAAATAGGATTTATGGGTAAATTTTCCAAAATTCAAATCATAAATATTTAAATAATCTAAAAAATTTAATAAGTAAAAAATTAAAATAAATATTCAAAAAATTTAAATCGTAAAAATTTAAATAATTTAAATATTCAAAAGTTTTAAATTTAAAAACAACTCTACACCCAAATCGTAACTAAACACATAAAACAAAACTCAATTAAGAAATTATTTTTAAAACTCATAACCAAACGCATAACTCGAAACTCCATACTACTTTCACAACTCTACACTCAAATCGTAACCAAATACATAACAAAAAAAATTAAAATATTTAAAAATATTTTTATAAAATAGAGTTTGAATTTATTTTTATAAAATATTTTAAAATTAAAAAAATTAAAATCGTAATATTTTGAAATTAAAATATTTAAAAATATTCAAAAAATTAAAAAATTAAAAAAATCGTAACATATTTAAATATTAAAATATTTAAAATCTTAACAAGATTAAAATATTGATTTGAATTGAGTTTCGAAAAGAGTTTTGAATTATGTGTTTGGTTATGAATTTTGAAAAGTAATGATTATGTTCTGAATTAAGTTTTGAGAAATGAGTGTAGAATTATGATTTGAAAGCGCTAAACAAACAACACACTCAAATCAATTGGTAGAATTATATTTTGAGAGGCTTACCAAACGGAGCCTTATATATTTTTTTAATTTGAGAATATAAGTTAAAGTATTGGTGCAACTTTTATTCATGGTTTATGATGCAAAAATAATTAAAATAGGATTAAAAAATAATTATTTAAAAAACGACTCTATTCACCAAAATGAGAATCCCATGGTTTCAATTAGGGGTGAGCAGGGTCCGGATTGGACCGGATTGGGGTAAAATCAGAACCAATCCGTTATCTACGGTTCCTGAAAAATTGAAATCAATCCAATCCGTTTAAATCATGAAACCAATCCAAACCAATCCATTTAAATACGGATTGGATCGGTTTAAGACCACGGATTCACATAATTAAATAACAAAAATATATATATAACACATTAATTTCATAAAAATATAAACATAGCGCTATATTAGTTCCACAATAGCAACATCTATTTCTATAATAGCGACATATTGTTCTAGAATTTAAACAACCATAAGAAAACTGGTTTCACCATAAGTATTTAAACCATTACAAATTAAAACTAAAAACTAACAAACAAAAGATATTATACGGTTTTAGGTTTGAGTTTAGATTTTATATAAAATAAGATAAGATATTATGGGAGAGGATGTATAATAAAAATATATGTTATTTGTATATGATTCGGATCGGTTCCAATCCGGAACCGTGGGGTTCAATCCAGAACTAATCCGTGTACTACGGATTTTTAATTCTTCAATCCAAAACCGAACCGCGGATTTAAAAAATCAATCCAAACTTATCGGATTGAACTGGACGGGATCGAATTACAAATTTTACAGATTCCTTACTCAGTCCTAGTTTCAATTTAACTAGACTTGACTTCTTTCTTCTTCTTCTTTTTTTCAATTGGAAACAGGCCCGAAGCAATAAATAATCATAATAATTTTTAGTTTAAGGACGGTTGTGTAATAGTTCATTTGTGCGTGAGTGCGTGCGACAAGCACACAAATATTCATCAAACACGCAATTCCTGAAAAAGAAGTGAAGACGATACCTTCCATACTCACCTTACCATGCTAAAGCTTGTGTTAGTTTCATTCCATTGTATTCCAAGTTTTGCTAATCATTTGACAAGCCTATTCTTTTAGATTGAAAGCTCTTAAAGTCATGAAAATTCAACAGTAGTATCACATAATCAAAACAAAACAAGATTGGTCCTGCATATCTTACTAGAATTATATGTATATATATTTTTAATTTGAGAATATATGTCAGTGTTGGTACAACTTTTATTCATAATTTATGATGCAAAAATAGGATTAAAAAACAAATATTTAAAAAATAAAGTTTTTAACTTTTATTTTCTTATTATCTATTGTTAACTTGCAATTAAAAATCTTCTTTTAATATTCATTTCTTTTGATTAGTTGGGTTTAGTTTTTCAGTAATATTTTGGTGGGGCTTATGTGCTCAAAGCTTCTTTGTATTCAAATCTCTTATACTTTGTCCTAATATACTTTTATGATCATCTATTAAGATTGGAAAATATTATGTGTACCATATGCATTTTATGACTAAAAAGAAAAATTATATAATTTCAATTTTTTGAGTTATAACTAAAAAAAGAAAAAAAAATTCATAACTAAACATAACTTAAGGTATAACTAGAGAAATTCATAAGTCATAACTAAAATAATGTCAAAACTAAAGAAAAAAATAATATAACTAAGGATGCCTGTGATACATCACTTTTAAAAAGATATATATTACAATTTCCCATTAAGCTTCATATTTTGAAATTCTCACTACTTTATACAATTAGTTGTACTTTGGAACAGAGAAACAAAAGGGTGAGTTTTGTCGACCCTGCAAGTACTCAGAACTTAAAATAACTATACATACTTTATGACATATACTTTCATAAAAAAATGTACAATTATTTGGAATGTGTTGTAATTGGTGTCAAAATGTACGTATTTAAGGCTCACTAAAGTATACTTGTTAACTTCTTAATCGTTGTTATATGATGATTCTAATAGATTGGCATGTTGTGCAAGTTACTAAGATTCTTGAGAAGAAAGTGTATCTAATTGGAAATACTAAAAAGCCCAAAGTGCAAGACATGTTGAAGCTCAAAGCTGGTTTTGGACATGTGGAGTTGCGCTCAGGCGCACGTCCTACACGCGATATGTTAAGGCTTCGTTTTGGAACAAGTTATTTTAGTAATTTTTTAATTTTTTGACTTAAATATAAGGTAAAAAAATAAATATGTTTAGAATGATTTTTTGATTTTTTATGAAAGATGTATAAAAAGTAAAGAGAAAAATGAAATCTTTGACTTTTTGATATAAGTTATAAGATTTTTAGTTTTTTTAATAACTTTTTAACTTTTAGGCTAAAATAAACACTTGCCAAACGAGGTCTTAAGTTATGTTGCCAAGAAAAGTGTGCTGCTTGTGTACGCTTGGACTCAACTCATGGTGCGCTCGGGTGCGACTATTGCAAAATTAATGTGAACTTAAGTGACCCAAAGAGAATGGGTTTGAGCAACAAAATATAAATAGGAGTTTTTAACTTGCTTCTAGGGTTGGTTCAGATTTAAGGACAAGAAGAGTGAATTTCATTGTTCAAATTATGGTGTTTTCATTGAAGACATAGCTTGTTTCATTCTCTATTAGTGGCTGATTCTCTTCTCCATGTCACTCAATCAACCTTATCAAAATTCTAAAAAGATTTAGACAAAACAACAAGAAAGAAATTCCTTAGTGTTTTGAGAGTCGCATCACTAAGTACAGTTGATTGTACATTAAAATAGAGAAA